TAAGCATTGACCCAGACCCCTAGCCCTTTTTTCTTTTTTTGGTACTGGGGATTAAACTCAGTAGCATTCAGCCACTGAGCCATATCCCCAGCCCTATTTTATATTTTATTTAGGGACAGGGTCTCATTGAGTTGCTTAGTGCCTTGCCTTTGCTGAGGCTGGCTTTGAACTCTCAGCCACCTGGGCCACTGGGATAGGCATGCACCACTGCACCCAGCTCTAGCCCTTTTTTATATTTTATTTAGAGACAGAGTCTACACTAAGTTGCTTAGGGCCTTCCTAAATTACTGAGGCTGGCTTTGAACTCATGATCCTCCCGCCTCAGCTTCCCAAGCTGCTGGGATTACTGTGCTCGGCCCCTAATTACTATTTTAAAAAACAGTAAGAAAAGCTGGGTTCATGCTGGTAATCCTAGCAACTCAGGAGGCTGAGGCAGAAGGATGGCAAGTTTGAGGCCAGCCTCAAATTGCAAGGCTCTTGAGAGACCTGGATTCAGTCCCAGTACCAAAAAAAAAAAAAAAGTAGGAAATATGCCAGCTGATTCGGAATGAAAGTTCTTAATATTCTCTAAGTGTCAACAAGTTTGTGATCATAGGACTTTCTAGAAAAAAATGGGTAATATCAGTATAATCAGGAAAGAGGATCAGGGGAGGCTTCTAGGAAGAGGTGACGTTTGAGATATGGCTATGAGAAGTACTGGGCAATTTGTGTTTTCTTCTACCCACCCCCCTGTCCAGGCCATACACTGGCCCTGAAGCAGAAGTACAAAATACATTGTGAAAAATATATTTAGGTGAATTATATATTTATGATTTTTGACTGCACAAATAAAAACCTTCAGAGAGGTACATATGAAAATGTCAATGGTTGAATGACCAACTTATCATTAAAAAAAAGATATATACTACCATAGATATGAAAATTTGTGCTGTATATGTGTAATAAGAATTGTAATGCATTCTGCTGTCATTTTTTTAAAAAATCAATAAAAAAAAGAAAGAAAGAAAGATAGAGGAGAAACTTTCACATTGAAAGGGTTTAGGAGACATAAATGACATTCAACCAAATACAAATGTGATCTTAAAAATAGGCTGGGCATGGAGGAGCATGCCTATAATCCCAGCGGTTCAGGAGGCTGAGGCAGGAGGATCACGAGTTCAAAGCCAGCCTCAGCAAGTTAGCGAGGCCCTAAGCAACTCAGTGAGTCCCTGTCTCTAGATAAAATATTAAAAAGGGCTAGGGATGTGGCTCAGAGGTTAAGTGCCCCTGGGTTCAATCCTGGGCAACACACACACACACACACACACACACATACACATACACACAGACACAAATCATCTACTAAAGATAGTGAAGACACAGATTAAATTATATTAAGATCTGCTTCAAGGTTATCCAAAGTAGGTACTTGATGCAAGACAGGGCATTAATTAGAACTCAAGAGCAGTTTCATGGAGGTTCATCACACCATCTTTCCACTTTTGTATGTATTTAAAATTTTCCTTGTTATAAAAAGGTAGGGCCAGGCATGGTGGCACATGCCTGTAATTCCAGTGGCTTGGAGAATCAAACATTTGAAGCCAGCCTCCACCACTTAATGAGGCTGTAAGCAATCTAGTAAGACTCTGAGTCAAAATAAATAAATAAATAAAAAGGGCTAGGGATGGCTCAGTGGTCAAGCATCTTTTGATTCAATCCCTGATACAAAAATAAAAAAAAAAAAGGATTGCAGTTGTAGTTCAGTGGTAAAGAATTTTCCTAGCATGTATGTGAGGCTCTGAGTTCTATCCCTATTACTGTACCAAAAAATAAAGTTAGTAGTGGTTCTCTCTAGGTTATAAAATTATGGGTGGTTTCTCTTTAGATTTTTTTTCTATTTCTCATGTTCCTACAATGAGCATTTTTTTAATGAGAAAAAAAACAGTCTGGTATTTGTTTGCTGACTGACTGCTCAATCTGAGAGAAAGCAGAAAAAAATGTGTCTCAGAGGAGGAGGAATGGAAGGGGATTCAGAGTTGGGAAATGGTAGTGTGGAACCATCAGAAGAAAACAGAGTGGAGGGCAGTGGAAGCCAAATAAGGACTTTCTCTGCCTTGCAGAGTTTGAGAACAGCTGAGATTATGGCTTGGAAGAGAGAGATGGTTTGCTGGTCTCAAAGCTTGGGACAACAGCTGTTGGGATCAGAAGCCAAAGGTTGATCTGAGAAGGGATCATAGTGGGGAGGAGGAGCACCTAGCAGGCAAGGACTTCAGAATGAGAGTCCACTTTTGCCTAGACATTGTGACCTAGTGGTGGCTTGAACTTGAATCAGGTTTATTGAAGAACTCGACATTGGCCCTGTTCTGAACCTGGTGTGCCTGACCAGATGGGCTGAAGAGCAATGGGCAAGAAAGTAGGAAGGGGTTGGGGCAGAGAAGCAGTGGAGGGCTGAAATCACGGTTAGATTGTTCACTTTGGAGCTGAATCAGAAATGTTAGTCTCCACATCAGCAAGTTGACTCAGGAAGGGAGAGCTCCTAAGCCTTCTTCTCCATCTCCCCAAGAGCTTCCCCCATAGATCCCAGGCCACTAAGCTTTATGATGAGAAAGGACTTGAAGCAGAGGCAAGGTGCTCAACCCAGAGGGTATATGAGAGGCTTCTAGGTCCATCAGTGACTTTTGGTTCAGGGCCAGTGTGGGTAGAAGAAAACACAAATTGCCCAGTACTTCTCATTACCATATCTCAAACATCATCTCTTCCTAAAAGCCTTCCCTGATCCTCTTTCCTGATTATACTGACATTACCCAGTTATTTTCTATAAAGTCCTATGATTTGTAACTAGATTTTTTGGGTGGGAAGGGTACTGGAGATTGAACCCAGGAGTGCTTAACAATGGAGCCCCATCCCCAGCCTTTTTTAAAATCTAGTTTCATTTTACTTTTTTTTAAATTTGAGACAAGGTCTTGCTAAGTTCCTTAGGACCTTGCTAAATTGCTGAGGCTGGTCTTGAACTCCTTCTCAGCCTCTGGAGTCATTGGGATTACAGGCATGTGCCCTGTGCCCAGTTTGTAACTAGATTTTTTTTTCTTTTTTTTTTTTTAGTGTGATTTGTTGTCAATTTTCTCTCTTCTGCTGGCCTGAACATTTATGAGTTCAAGGATAATGTCTTCTTGTTCACTCTTAGAGTCCAGTGTTAGCACAGGGCCTGAGTCAGAGTAAATGCTCAATTGATATTTGTTGAATGAATATGAGGAGGCTGGCTAGGCAAGTGGGGAGAAGGGAAATCACTGGGGTCAAGGGAAGGACAAGGGCAGGGCAAATCTTCTAGTTTGCCACCATTCAGGGGGCCCTCTGGGAAGTGCTTTGCATTCCTGGTGCTAGTGACAGGACTGTGCATGCCCAGGAATTGAAATCTGTGTTGCATGCCAAGGCCTCCTGTGTTCTTCTGGAAGTGAGGGCTTAGTTGGTGAGGAGAGGGGGAGAATGGAAGCACAGAAGCTCAGCATCTTAGCTTCTGGGAAAACATGGGCTGGGGAGGCAGCCCAAGCCCCAGCCTCATCTCCAGGGTTCTTTGGACAGACTCCTCATAGCTCCTGGCTTCTACTAGGGAGGTCTGGCCCAGAGCCCATCCCCACTCCCCACAGACCACAAGAAGGTCTTTCTGCTGAAGTCCCCACCCCCAACCCACAGGGGGTTCCTGTCTCAGCAGGAATTCAGACCTGATTGAAATGAGCAGCTGGAGCAGACTGGATGGGAGGGTGACTAGTGGGGAGCAGGGATCAAAAGCTCTTGTGTGTGAGGGGCAGGGAGAGGGGGTGCCGGAGTGTGCTGGCTTGCCCACAAGCATAAAGAAATGAGGCAGAGACAGAGGGACAGGAAGAAAGAGACAGAGAAAGATAAAGAAAATGTAGCAGAGAAAGCAACCCGGAAGCAGAGAGGAAGAAAAGAAGAGAAGTTGGGGGGGGGGGGTGGGCACGGACACAGAACAGAGAATAAAGTGGAAATCACGAGGGACAGGAACAAGGAGAGTGCTGATAAAAGAGCACAAGGTCACAAGGCAATTGTGGGAGATGGAGACACAGAAAAGAGGTCAAGGACAAGTTTAGGAAGGCAGAGACAGAAAGGAGAAATAGAGACTGAACTTAAGGAAGGAGTCACATTTATTCTTTCCTTCTACATTTGTTGAACATCCCAACATGGCAGGCACACAGTGCGAGGTAAAAATCAATCGGTGCAAGCAGACACAAATGATAGGGTCCCAGACATAGCAGTAAAGACAGTAAAGACAAAGACCAGGAAAGGGAAAGCTAAGATTGGAACCGAGTTAGAGACTGAGGGGAGGACACAGAAATAAGAGACAGTGACAGAGACACAGACTTAAGAGGAGGCAGACACAAAATTCTCCCAGGCAAAGAGGGCACAATGAGTGGAACCCAGGGTGCAGCTGGAGGAGAACCTGGATGAGGGAGACCTGCCCGGGCTTGCCCTAGGGTGGCTTTCCCTCCTCAGTCCCATCTCCAACTGTGCTGCCTCTACTTTCCCTCCCCCTGCCACCACTCTTCCTAGCAGGCTCTGGAGGAGGTTCTAAGTGCTGACAGCCTCCTCCTGCCCCTCCTCTTGACCCATGTTTCTCTGCCTAAACTCCAGATCAGGATGGAGCCCAGCTCAACTCAGAGAAGAGGAATGCAGGTGATAGACAGGCATAAAACGCCTCCCTTCCATCCACAGGCCAGTTTAAGACCATCCTTTGGTCCCATGGATCCCTCAGGAGATTGGAACATATGCATGTGATGGGGAGAAGGGAGGGGTGGGTGTGCATTCAGCTTCCAAAATAGGGCAGGTGCCTCTCCCTTCCGGGTCTGTGTACCAGCCCCCAATACATCAAAACCTCGCTGCTGAGATCTCGGAAGGAGGAAAGACACCATTTGTAGCAAATGCCAAGCCCTCCCCCATCTCCTCCCACGTCATCACTGAGAAAAATGCCGCAGAGAAGAGGGTGGGCTGGAGAATCAGTCACCTACCCGCTGGTGCCGGGTCTCTGGGCCTGAGAGAAACGCCAGTCCGTGTTGGGTGGGGCTTGCTGTGGAGAAAACAGAGGGAAAGAAGCTGAGTACCCATGAGCTGTCAGAATGTCACCAGAGCCTCTGGGGATGAGCTGGAAGAGGAGGGGAGTGGGTAAGAGAAGGAAATGGGGTAAGATGGGGGAGGGGTTGACACATTTCCAAAGACCACAAAAACACCCCAGGTCCCTCTCAGAGGTCTGAGGTACCAGAGATGAAATGACATTTTTATCTGTCACAGTGAGGAAGCTTTGATTTTTTTTTTTTTTTTAAGCCTTCCTTTTTCCCTGTCTCCAGACTCAGGACTTTGGGGCCAAAATTCAAGGGCTGAAAGTATCTTCTGTGGTACTGGAGGGAGCAGTGCAGAGAAGGCTCCTAAAAGGGGCAAAAGAGGCTTTTAGATTAGAATCCCACCAGCCCTAGAATGAAGTTATCCAGCCCTTCAGCTGGGAACAAAGCATCCTCCGCAGCAAGATGGCTGCGGCTCTGGGTAACCCTTTTCGTGCCAAGTTGTGCAGCGACACATTTAGGGCGACACCTCGTCCAGGCCCTTGGCTCTCAAGGATCTCTTCCCACAGCTAAATACATTATTAATTTAGGAGTCATGCCAGACAGGGCCTTTGCTAGGGATCCAAGCCCTGGGACACCTCTCACCCTCAGAACTCCATGCCAGACAATGGCCTGTGACTGAGAAGAGAACAAGGCTTCTCTGTCTGGAATAGAGAAAATGACTGGGATGGAGCCCAGAGAGATCAAGCTCCCACAGCTTCTAAGCAATGCCAACTAAATCTGCAGGGCTCCCAGGGGGTTGATCTGTAGCCATCTCCCACCTGGCTGAAGGTGTGGGTTCTTCTGTCAGCCACTTAACACCTAAGTCTCTCCCAGTCCTTCCAGGAGTATGTTATTCATTCCACCATTCATGGAGCACTCCTAGAGCCATGTCCTCACTGGTTCTGGGAGGACATTACCGTGCCCACTACTGTGCTCTCTGGGACAGGGTAATTAATTCTCACTCTGGTTCCCAGAAGCAGAGAGTGTGAGCATCTCAGATTACACTGGGGAGACCTAGAACTGCCAGTGATTCACACTCAAGTCTCATAGGCGACAGTGATGTGAGCAGAATCTAGAAATCTAATATCCTCAGTATATCAGGAGCCATGAGCACCATTCTGGGGCTTCCTTGAAGATGTCCAGCCCTTAGCCAATGTATTCTTAAGCACAGCAGAATCTACATGGAGTTGCAGGGATCATGATGGGAGGACAGGGAGCTGGATGAAATAGGAGGATGGCGGGTCCCATTTGTTCAGTGAGGACTACTGAGGATGAGGAAGCCCAAAGTCTTTCCTCCTCATGTAAGACACTAAAAGGAAAATAACACCCTTGCCCCATCCCAGTAGATGCCAACTGTCTTTTGTTCAGCATCATAAGTTTCAAGTGCCAAACCAATCAAAGCACACTCTGGAGTTAGACAGACCTGGGTTAGACTATTACTTGCTCTGAACTTGAGCAAGTCACATGACTTCCATGAAACTCAGTTACAAGATGAGGCTAGAAACTATCCAGCAACAGTGGAGAGAAGAGCAAATGAATATCCTAGTTCTCCAATAAGGCGGGTAGTTAGCTTCTCTCAATCAGCTATCAGAAGCATCTAAAGTGTTGTTTTCAAACTATAATCCTGATTCAGGGTGGTGATTAGATATATTTTGAATAAAAACCTTCTGGGATTATGAAAATTTGTGTTTTTCACTATTATAGTTTCCTCACATATGAGGGGTACCCCTGGCATCTGGTGGAAGCTACGGCTTTCCATCTGCCAGAGGAGAAAGGACTTGAATCTCAGATATTTTGGCCACCCCCAAGTCCCTGACCCTAGATGGCTGAGCACATCAGCATATCGTGGGCAGGAAGAGCCAAAACCCTGTTTCTAAGCATCAAGAGCTGGGGTGCTCCAAGTTCCCACTCTCCTCAGGAGAAAGGGGCCCGACTGGTGTCACAGGGGTCCTGGGTTATATCTTATAAAGTTCTACTCCCTCTGCTCAAGGCTTCAGGGGCTGCCACTTTCAATATGGAGCCCTGGGTCCTGCAGGACCAGCTGGCCAGAGGGTCACAGAGTCATGCCCCCAACCCGCCTGCGCTCCACGAACTTCAGTAAAGCTCAGGTCACCCTGAGGTGACTGGCTCCCCCTCCCCGCCAGGTGCAACTGGGAAGATGCTCCCGAGTACTTGCCTGGTCCTGGGCAGCAGCGACCCGGGACTTTTACCAGAGACCACGGGCAAGGGGCTGTGGGTGGGCCACAGACAACTGGTGTGAACCTGGCAGAGAGCCACGGGGGGTGAAAGCTGGTGCATGGGTGTTTGAGCTGGCGTAGGGAGGACACAGGTGAACCCTACTAGCGCACCTCAGTCCAGATGTGGTTGGGTGGAGCCAGGATAAGGAAGGTTGAAGATTACAGTGAAGCCATAGATCATGGGAACGGGTAGAAAACGGAAGAGGAAGCCTAAAAGACCCGGGCAGCGTGCGGGGAACTGAAGCTTAGGAGGCTGGTAGGGTGAATCTATCACAGCCTCCACCCGAGATCCCCCACACCTGTGGAAACTGCTAGAAATTCACCAGAAACTCGGCGGAGCCCCACCCTTTTCTAAGTGTGGTGGCAGGAGTTAGTGGTCCCACCTTCCCTCGTCCATAATCACCATCACCTCCCAATGCTTGGAGCCCCATCACGCAATGAGTCCAAAGGATCCCAAGAATCGGGTGGAGTACAACGAGCAGCTGAGCCAGCCCAAGAGGTGTGGATGCAAGTTCAGTCCCTTATGTGGACCGCAGGCTTCTCCAATGCCTCCCCCAGGAGTCGCCCCCGGGTGGCGCTGAGCCCTCACCTGGCTCCTCTCCCGCATCGTATTAGAGTGGGAACGAAAGGCATCAGGCTCCAGGGCCAGAGCTGAGGGTTGCTGAACGCTGAGCGGCCTGAGGAAAGTGAAGTCACTGCCATCAGAGGCTGGTGAAAAGCACGTCCTGTAGCAATGGCTCTGTGAGTCTGTGGGCCGCAGTGTCACCTCCATGTACTTAAGTGTGCCATCTGAGCTTACCTGCAGGTTGGGACTAGACTGCTTATAAAATTCCCGGGAGGGTGAGTCCTGATGCCTGCAGCACCCACCCCCACCACCATCCCCATTTGCCTGTCCCCGAAGGCACTTAACTGACATAAAGGTGAAGGTTACTAAGGATAAGAGACTGATGGTTGCTAGAGCTACAATGAGGTAAAGAGTAAGGTCTGAACGTTCAGGAGGGTGTGTGAGGAAATCACTGGATTTGGGCATTTCCTCAGGGTCTTCATCCTCCAGAACCAGTAGCACTGTGGCTGTAGAGGAAAGTGAAGGGTCACCATTGTCCCTCACGAGGACCACCACCTGCTGAGTATCAGGGTCATCCTCTAGTAAGGACCTAGCTGTGCGCACCTCACCAGTATGTGCAGACACCAGGAACAATCCTGGGGCTGTGGACTGTGGCAACAGGGAATAAGAAAGCCATGCATTGTGGCCTGCATCAGCATCCACAGCTGTCACCTTGGTGACCAAGGAGCCAGGAGGAGCAGAGCGAGGGAGACGCTGGGGGGCTGAGAATTCCCTGCCTGGCTTTGGGTGCAGCACAGCTGGGGCATTATCATTCTGGTCAAGGACAAACACATGTAGAGATGTGTTGGCATGCAGTGGGGGAGAGCCAGAGTCTCGAACCCCCACCACAATCTGCAGCATCTGCAGCAATTCATAGTCAAAAGTTCGCTGGGCAAAGACTCGTCCATCATCAGGGTTGACATACACAAAGGAGGAGGATGGGGCTCCCTGAATCTGACTCCCTACAATGGAGTAGGTGAGACGGGCATTATCCCCAGTGTCTGGATCTGAGGCAGCCACAGTGCAGAGAAGGGAGCCAGGAGGCTTATTTTCTGGGATGTAAGCAGTATAGAGCTGCTGGTTGAACTGGGGCGCGTTGTCATTAACATCTGAAATGTTGATCCTGATGGTGAGACGTGTGTGCAGAGGAGGTGAGCCAGCATCGCTAGCCAGTAGCTCAATGGTATAGTGTGATGTGGCCTCCCGGTCCAAGGGCTGGCTGGTTAGCAATGAGTAGTGGTTCTCAGAAGGCTTGATCTGAAATGGGAGGTCTGGAGAGATATCCAGACTTACTTCACCATTTCTTCCTGAGTCTCGGTCCCGCACATTAAACAACCCCACTACTGTGCCCACTGGTGTGCTCTCTGGGACAGGGTTGACCAAAGAGGCCAACAGAACCTCAGGGGCATTGTCATTGGCGTCCCCCACATCTACTTGAATGACACAGTGACCCTCCATGGCTGGCTGTCCCTGGTCACGGGCTCTTGCATGAATTTCATAGAAACTTGACTCCTCAAAGTCTACTGAACCCAATACATGGATTGCTCCACTACTAGGGTCCAGGCCAAAGAGATTCCGCACTGCCTCAGAAGTATGATCTCCAAAAGAATAGTCTAGTTGGCCATTGGTGCCCTCATCTGGATCAGTAGCATTGAGGCGGAGCAGCAGGGTCCCCTTGGGTGCATTCTCTGGAAGTCCCACACGTAGAACTGAGGACTGGAAGGTTGGAGCATTATCATTGATGTCCAGCACAATGATGGAGATGAGGCTGGTCCCTGAGTGAGCTGGGGTACCCCCATCCACAGCAGTGAGCACCAGCTGATGTCTTGCCTGAGTTTCACGATCTAGTTGCTGCTCTAGCACCAGCTCTGGGAAGAGCTTCCCATCTTTTAGGGTCTTCACATTCAGAGAAAAGTGGCTGCTGGGGCTTAGAGTGTAAAAGCTCACAGTATTGGTGCCTACATCCGGATCTTGGGCACTATCCAGTGGGAATCGTGCTCCAGGTGCAGCTGATTCTGAGATACGCATCTCTCGCTCAGAAGTGGCAAAGCTTGGAGAGTTGTCATTGAGATCCAGGATCTCTACCTCTACACGGATGAGCTCCAGTGGGTGTTCAGTCACCACCTGCACTGGCAACAGGCAGCTGGTGCTGGCTCCACACAGGTTCTCTCGGTCAATCTTTTGATTCACTGCTAGAGCACCACTCATCAAGCTCAGGGAAAAATAGCGTCCATTCTCCTCAGAGCCCAGCCGCAGTCGGCGGCTCAACAGATCTGTCACCTTTAAGCCCAGATCTTGAGCAACATTCCCTACCAGCGTCCCCGGCTCAGACTCTTCCACCACTGAGTAACGAAGCTGCCCAGACACCCAGCCCCAGCAGCACAAGGACAACATGCACAGCACTTGCCATTTCCCAGGGAGCTGTGGGGGTGTCTTGGGCCCCATGACCCAGAAGTCCCTTCCTGAAGAACAACTCTGTGCTGTCCTGTCTCCAAGGTAGACCAAGGGCTTGGAATGCAGCAGAAGAAATCTCTTATGTCTCCTTCCAGCCTCTTAAAAACTGCTCTGAGGTTTGCCTGCCTGCAGCAGTTCTTAGTCACCAAATGGCGGGGGTGGGTGGGGGGGAAGGGGAGTTAAATGTAAGTGGAGCTGGGGAGCTGGAGGAGGAGAGGCGGGCAGGAAGAGCAGATCCCCCACCTTGTCTCTGAGTTTGATTGGTCAAAAAGTCTGTCTGCTCTCAACCAATTATGCAGTCTCCTCAGTTCTGGAAACCTTGGGAACGGGCAATGCAAATCTGTGTCACAGAAGCCTCCTACCTCCCTACTCATTTTCGTGCTGCAGGTTGATTCAGCCCCCTTGGCAGCAAAGTTTGACAGCTCAGATGGTGCTCAACAGGGAAGACAAAGTGGTACAAAACTCCTAGTGTTCTATCCCAGCAACTTCCTTCATGACTTCAAAAGCTTCCACACTACTTCACTGGAACCAACAAAATTCACTTTCTGGGAAAGGCAAACAACATTTGTTCCCCCACCCCTCTCCCATCTCTCTCCCACTCCCCTTCTCCCATCCTACTGAATGCTGCTAGGGGCAAGAGAAAAAATTTGCTAAGACACTGTAAAGTCTTATCTTGACTCTTTAGCAATGCTTTGAGGAAAATCTCCATGTCAGTTGATGGCTACAGAACTCAGTTTATCTGAGATCCCAGTCTCAGAATGTAGAAAGATTGTCACCGTTTGTGGGTAAAGGAATATTTCTGGGACTGATCTAAGTTACTAAGAGTTGACAGAGGACAAGCATAACCTCTTTCTAGGCTTTATGGTTTCACGGAATTCAGGAGAACTCTAAAGGCTTCCAGAGTTGCTGTCTCTGAGTTCCTCAACTGTAAACCAGTTTTCTGACATTGTCATTTCACTTACCGCTTTTTTTCCCCCAAAGACACAATGAATACCTCTCTGTTTCTAATATACTGCATTGTACCTAGTTCAAATCCCATTAGGGACTGGGAATCCTAAACATCTGGATCAAAAGATCTTTTCTGGGGAGAGCACTGGGGATTGAAACCAGGGATGCTTTATCACTGAGCTACATCTCCAACCCTTTTTATTTTGAGAAAGGATTTCACTAAGTCTGGCCTCAAACTTGAGATCCTCCTGCCTTAGCCTCCCACCTTGCTGGAATTGTTGGAATTACAGGAATGTGCCACCACATCTGGCCCAAAAGATCTTTGATGTGCACCTCTCTGCTCCCTTGGATCTCTCTTCTTTTTTTTGCTCTCTGCTATGCTTCAGAGAGTACCCTTCACAGTGGGTTAAGGATCCTAGAGACTATGGGCAAAGATTTTAGTCACCCTCTCAGTCCATTGGAAAATGGTAACCTAGAGTTAAGTTTCTCCAGAACCTGGCCCCCCCGATTTAGGAAGAGTAGAGAAAGCAGCCCTGGGTTCAGGTGATTGCCTAGTGCATCCCACCCTTGTGCACCATAGCCATCTATGCTCCTAAGTTCTGTCAGCATGCTTCACAATAGCATAGTTCTTGATCACCAATTACTTTCACTCCTTACTTTTAGATATAGACAAAATCTACCCCCAGTGTTAACCTGTGTCAACCACCTGGTTAATTCACAAAACACTTAAAAAAAAAAAAAAAAAAAAAAAGCTCAGAATCTACCACATAGTTACTACTCACAAAAATGGTGAAATCACTCTGGGCTCTTACAGGGAGGCCAGTACTCTCTGGAACATGGCCCAATCATAAGCCTGAATCAGAACAACCCTCAAGCATTGGCTGAGCCTGAAAAGGTCTCACCTCTAGCCCATAGAGAAGATCAGAGGGTGGACAGCTTGGGCGAACAGGCTCTCCTGCCATAGGTGCACTGGGTGACTTCACCATCATGAAGCTATCACTCCGAGTGGGTGCAGAAGCCAAGGGTGTACAGCCATGAGAGTGGCCTCCCACATCAACAAACTTGATAGGATCATCTGACCCTAGCTGGATTCGGAGGATCCCATTGGAAGGAGGAAGCCCCTCCCTCCTTCGAGATCTGGTGAGACATGCACAGGTGCCAGCAGGAAAGCATGTTACTCCGCAAGCAGCCCCACGCAGACATTTAGAGAGTAGTGCCACGAATGAACCAAAGGAGACAAAGCAAATTGCCACTAGGGATACAGCCAAGTATAAAGTCAGACGGGATTCTCCTTCCCTTGGAGCTGAAGATTCTCGAAGATCAGGAACAATTGGATGAGTGTCTTCCTCTAAGGACACGAGGAGAGTAACAGAGGTAGAAAGTGGTGGGCTACCACTGTCCTTCACCACAATGACAAGCTTCTGTGGTGGGAGATCAGCGGGGATGGGAACAGCTGTCCTGACCTCCCCAGCATATCGAGAGACTGCAAACAGGCTGGGATCTGGGGCCTCTAGGAGCTGATAGGAAACCCAAGCATTGTAACCTGAATCCAAGTCCACGGCAGTCACCTTGGTGACTAGGTGGCCAGCACCAACTGATGGAGGCAGTGCTTGAGGACATAAGGAACCAGGCCTGGCCCTAGGGCGGAGAACAGCTGGGGCATTGTCATTGAGGTCCAGAACAAATAGACGGACTGTCACAGTGCTGCTAAGAGGTGGGTTGCCCCTGTCCCGGGCCTGCACCTCAAACTGCAGTGTCTGTGTTTGCTCATAGTCAAATGATCGAGTAGCATGAACAGCTCCTGTTTGGGGGTTCAGAGAGATGAAGGAGGAAGCTGACACATCTCGATTTCTGGGCTCTAAGAGAGAGTAAGAGATAAGTGCATTCAAACCAGAGTCTGGGTCCGAGGCTGCAAGAGAGCAAAGCAGGTCCCCTGGGCGATTATTCTCAGGAACAAACACCTCATGTGATCTTTGGAAGAAGGAGGGTGGGTTATCATTCACATCAGAAATATTAAGGAAAATAGTCCTGTGGGTACTCAGAGGAGGGTTCCCAGCATCAGAAGCAGTGACCATGATGTCATAACTGGATTTAGCCTCTCGGTCCAAGGACCCAGCAGTCACAAGGGAGAACTGGTTCCTGAAGGCAGACTTGAGGGCAAATGGCAAGTGGTCAGGGATTCGAAGGCTCACATCTCCATTTGAACCCGAGTCCGGGTCCTGCACACTGATGAGTGCCACTACAGTGCCAGGTTCTGCACTTTCTGGGAGAGTTCCCAGCTCTGAAGTCACTGTGATGTGGGGGGCATTGTCATTTACATCCAGGAGATCCACCCGAAGGCTGCAATGTTGTTCCATGGCTGGAGAACCCCCATCGCGAGCCCGCACATCAAATTCATAGTAATTCTCACTCTCGAAGTCTAGGGGCCCCTGAAGGGTAAGCTTTCCAGTTGTGGGATGCAGGTCAAAGAGGTTTCTCACACGATCAGGGGTGTGGCCACTGAAAGAAAATGTGACGTTACCACTAGGACCCAGGTCCGGGTCAGAGGCATTGAGCTGGATGAGCACCATGCCGGCTGGCGCGCTCTCCAAGACACTAATTCTGTAGCTGGATTGCTGGAAGGCTGGGGCGTTGTCATTCACGTCCAGCACAGAGACCCGGAGCTCCGCGGTGCCAGATCTTGGGGGGTTCCCTCCGTCTACAGCAGTCAGCACCAGGCGGTAGTCCGATTGCTTCTCCCGATCCAAAGGCTTCTCCAGGAGCAGCTCCGGGACGAGGCTGCCGTCGCTGCGTTTCTTGACATCAAGTGCAAAGTGTTCATTGGAGCTCAGTCTATAGCTGCTAATGGAATTGCTCCCCACATCTGCATCCTGAGCCTTTTCCAAAGGGAAACGTTGTCCTGGAGGAGCTGCCTCCCCGATTTCCAAGTCCAGCTGCTGCCGCGGAAATCGGGGGGCGTGATCATTCACATCTACGATCTCTACCTCTGCTCGGTACATTTCCAAAGGCCCTTCGGTTACAAACTCCAGGGGCACGATACAGCTGGCACTGAGCCCACACAGTGCCTCTCGATCTATTGGATTCTTGATTAGCAGGGCTCCGCTGTCCAAATCCACACGGAAGTGTCTTTGGTTCACCTCTCCAGCGACCTGCAGCCTGCGAGCTGACAGACTCTCTGTATCCAGCAGGAAATCTTGGGCGACATTCCCTACAAAAGTCCCTTCCTGTGACTCCTCTGGGACCGGGTAGCGGATCTGCCCACAAACGTAACCCAGGTGGCAAAAGAGGAACAAAAGGGTAGCCCCCCACCCGAGTTCTACCCAGCTTCTCACCTTGCAGAGCATTGCTGCCACCCGCTAATTCTCTACTTGGTCCTGGGAAGCAGAAGAAGCCGACCCGCCCCAAACATCCACAGCAGCTGGAGACACCTATCTCCCTTTCCCCCGCGCCAGTTCTGGCGCGGCTTGGCCGGCACTGCAAGGGTTACGCGCCGTTTTTGCTGGTGGCGGGGTAGATTTGTCTGCCTTTCAACACCGGATTGGCAGACAGCGGCTCCTGGGCTCAGCCAATAGGCTGAGCAGAGAACATCCTAATAGCAGCAGGGTTAATGCGTCGCAGCATTGGAAGAAAAAAAAAAAAAAACAGAAAAAAAAAAAAACAACCAAACCCCACAAAATAATAAAATAACCCCCAACTTATCTTTTCACCTTCCTCCTGCTCAAAGGTATTTCTTTCATGGATCATTACCTCTTTGGAGAAGCAAACAACATATACGTATTCCCCCTCCCCAACAACCTACTCACCCCGCCCCTTTTCGGCAGGGAAAACAGCGACAGCCTGAGCCCTAGCAACCTGCAGCCCACTGAGCAAGTAGCCATTTGAGATTGGTCACTTTATTCAAGCCAGTGTTGTCATCAACCAATATCCTAAATGAGTAGCTTCTGTCCCAATCTGATTGTGTTAGAACAACAGCTAATTAAAAGCACTGCCATATACTCAAAACTCTGCCCCTCTGCAGATTATTCAGAACCATATCCATTCCTTTGCAAAAAAGGCTTACACATTAATGTGGCCAATTAAATTTATGCAGCACACCTTTTGATTGTAACAGGAGGTGCGGCAGAAAACAAACCACTCTTATTCAGACATTTGCTAGTAATACACTAAATTACCATTCATTGATTTCAAGGACAGTATGGGAACAGGGTGGTGGAAGCCAGGAGAGGGAGACTTCCCAAAACTGTAAGAATCAGCAGAGTCTGGGAGGTATAAAGGACTAGATCTCATTACCTGGCAGAATGCTAATGTTCACAAATTCAACAGCTTTCTTGAATAATTGGGATCAGCCACCAACAGCATTGTGCCTACAAATCCTCTTTATTTGACACCAGTGGTGTTCTTGATATGTTGTTAATTACCAACAGAGACCATTTCAAAAGAGCAAGCTTTTCACTTAGCCCCAGGGGATCTCTTGTAGCTGGAGACTTGATCTCACCCCACCCCCTCTGTCATCCAGACCTCCTAGCAGCCTGGCTACTACCTTTGCACAAGAGCAAAAACACAATAAATTTTAAACTGTAGGTACCTCCAAACTGTAATCTGAGTGGCAAACGCATCAGAGACAGAGAAAAATGCAACTTGATCTGGACATGATATATGTTAATTCATCCAAATTCTTAACTAGGTTACTACAGGCAGCCAAAACCAGGAAAACAACAACAACAACAACAACAACAAACAAACAACAACAACAAAAAAACGGTGTTCTTACAATCCCCTCATTTCCCCCAAACCTTTGATTTTCAGGAATACATACATATTTTTTTACTATGGTGAGGCCAGCAATTGACATTCTAGTTACAAAGAAAGGGATCTGGCATCTGTATTCTTATATAAAAACAAAATAAAACAAGCCCTGACACACACACACACACACACACACACACACTCACCCCTTAAGTCTCTTCCCATGGGAATTATGGAGATGTAAAACATCTTGGTCTACCAAAGTGTTTATGCCAGAATTCACTATCTCAGTAAGTGGCATCATCATTCACCCAGCTACCTTAGAATTCAAGGAGTTTCTGTGTAGGGGGTGGGGGGGGGGAGGTCATTCTTGGCTCATTCCCATCCCTCTCTTCCTATATCATGTCAGTCAACAAGTTCTGATGATTTTATTGGAGTCATTTTAGTGTAGTCTGCCCTGCCACTGTGCTGGTTCAAGCATTTATCAATCCTCTCAAGTACTGCAATAGCCTTTGTCTCTCTTCCCAATGTCTCCAATGTATTTCACTTATGACTACCAGAATAATCTCTCTAAAGCAAGCAAACAGAAGATCCTGATGACATCGTGTGTGTGTGTGTGTGTGTGTGTGTGTGTGTGTGTGTATCAGTTCAAATTGACTATCATCTATAGTGAATAAAATGAAAACCCCTTGGCACAGTTAAAAGGTAATTCAGGTATTCCTGCCTACTTGCTTCACTTCATGGCCTGCAAAGACTGTTTTACACACGTGCTTTATAGTCCAACAATAGTAAAATACCCTTATCTCACACATGGAATTTCCTGCAAAGGCTCCTTCCTGACCCATTTCCCCTTTACTATTTGATAAGCTACTACTCATCTTTCAGTTCTTGGCTCAAGCATCATGACTGCCTCTATAAAGTTTTCCTGATTTCTCAGGCTGACTTAGGTATTTCTTCCTCTTTGAGGCCACTGCTTCTTCTGTAATTCAGAACCCATTTTCTTTCCTTTTATCTTGTTTGTCTCCTGTGGTATTCTGTATACCATAAGGGCAGACAGTGTCCTTTGATCTTTTACAGAGTCTAACACACAGGGGTGATAATAAAATGGTGAATATTAGCATTTATCAACTCAACGAATATTTATTAAATATTTGTTAAGTAAGTATTGTCTTTATAGATGATAAAAATGTAGTTGAGAGCTCAAGAGACTTGTCTGAAGCTAAACAATTAGTATAGTACTATACTTGCAATTTCACATTTAAAAAAGCCCAGCCTGTTTTACTAGAATTGGAGCATCACAACACTTTAATACAACATACTCAAATTTTTATGCCAGATATTTGATACTGTCATCTCCAGATTCTGTTTTTCTGTGTTTGTTTGTTTGTTTTTTTGTAGTGCTGCAAATCAAAGCCAGGGCCTCCTGTATGCTAGGCACTGAGTTACTTTCCCAGCCCCACCTGTACACTTTTTTAAAACAGGTTTTTTGAGATATAGTTGACATACCATACAGTTCACATTTTAAAAATGTCAAAGTGTCCAATTTGATGGTTTTTAGTATATTCAACTACAGCAAGTTGATGCAATCATTAACACTATCTGATACTGAAAAATTTTTGTCACACCCAAAAGAAACCCAATGGCCCAGGTACTAGTGGCTTAGGGAGATTTTTCTATTTAGATAACTGAAATATCATCTTATGTCTTTCCTATAGTGCTCTTCTAGAGCTATCCTATATAATAATCAAAAGTTGGGAAATGTCATTAGAGTATTTTTTTTAAGTTGGAACTAACTCAATATAGCTGCTTCCTGTTTCTGTGAATGCCAGAATGACATTTTGCTTCATAAATATGCAAATAATGAACTGGCAGATTCTAGGGCAGTGGTTTTCAGTGTTCATACATTAGAATCACCTGAAAATACTAAAAAGGTACTAATGTCTGTGCCCCACCCCCAGAAATTGTGTCTGAGATGTGACCTGGGATTTAGAATTTTTACAAGATCCCTATTTGATCCTAAGGTGCACCCAAGTTTGAGAACACTGTTTTAGGGAAAATGCCAGTTGTTTTTAGGATGACCAGAAGAGCAGCAGGTGCTTCTATCTGGCTTTCATCCTTTCTTAGCCTTTCCATATATGATTCTACTTTGTTATTTTAGGCTCTCCTCATTTTGCTCATGTCAAAAGTATGTTTAAGAATTTTGAGTGGGTGAAGAATAAAAGTAGTAATAGAAATAACTAGTAATTTTTTAATAGCTGTGACATGCCAGGCACTGTGCTAAACACTTTACATACAGTGCATCATGCTTTAGTCCTATAAAACCCATGTTATTTTTTGCACATGAGAAAGAGGCTTAAAGGGGAGAGTAAGTAACTTGGTCAAGGACTCCTATGGTAAAAGCCTTGTCTAACTGCCAAATTCAAGATTTGATAGTAATATTATACTTAGTAACAAAATAATGCACTTAATGACAAAATAACAGAGGTTCTCCCACAATTGAGAGTTTGTGTAGGTTTCTCTCCAAGGCAAAGGCCCTGTAGTCATCAGCATGCCAGCATGAATGAATGAATGCTTTATCCTTCTAAGGAAATGAGTTCATCTACCTCTCACATTATATGTATACTTAAGAAAAATAATGCTAGAGGGGGTAGGAATAACAGTAGAGGCACATTTGTACTCTATATTCTTTCTTTTGCCTGGATTTTTTTCCAAAATAAATCATTACTTTTATAATTAGCAGTGATTATCTTTGGGTTTGGGGATTATAGTTACTTTTAAATTTTACTCTTTTTGTATTTTCTATATTCCCTACAGTGTTCATGCGTTACTGTTATAACATAAAATTATGTGGCAAATAACACACCCATTATTTCCAGTAGCATGCTTAAAATGAATTTAAAGGATACCTAGAATTTTATTTCATTCATAGATAATTATCTGAGAATGAGATAGAGGATCTGTGTTGGCAAATGAAAGTTATCAAAGAAACTTTAGTTTTGATGCAGATATAGCAATCATTTGAAAAGGACGAATGAGGTATATTGTATTCCTACCAGCTGCCACTGGTTAGAGGTATCCAGCAGGTGTTTCCCAAAACAAATGATGCCAAGCTAAATTCGGAGTGCTGAGATCTTAGATTATAGCTCAGGTGCATAATAGCAAGATTGCTTAGTTGTGATGGTAATTGAGGGTTGAGGGTGTAAATTTGGTCCACAGAGGAGGCAAATAACTTCACCCTGAAATGGAACTACAAATCACATTCTAATGGCTGACTACCTCCCAAAGGCACTAAGTTTGATCTAGGAAGGACCAGATGAAAGTGTGTACACATAATGAGAAAAGCGTCTTCATCGTTTAAAACAGCCCCAATCCAAACCTTCCCAAACATGGTGCAGGAAACAAAAACAAAACATTTCAGGCATGACCTGCTAGCCCTTACCTGTCCAGGAGGGGCGCTCTCTGCCCCCAACACCTGCCTATAGAACACGGGATCGCAACTTCGTAGAGTGTTCTGGCGGCTGGCCAGCGGGCTGGCAGCCCCAGGTTTCTTCAGCAGTGGGTCGCTGCGGCGCGAGTCAGTGGTGAGGTACACCTGATGGTAAAGGTGCGGTGGCATCAGACCTCCCCGCACGGCGTCCGCGTGCAAAGAGGTCCCTGGTGTTCGGTACAGGGAGCTCACTGGGGCTCGGTATAGGTCCCGAGACTGCTTCCACTTGTAAACTTTGAATATGATAACTCCCAACACTGTGACTACGAACCCCACAGAGACCAAGATTAGAGAAAGAAGTAGGTAAAAGGTGAGGTTTTTATTCTGCTCCCGGGGAGCAGAGCCGGAGGGGAACTCGGCCCTGGCTTCTGGAGATTCCTCGGTTACGGACACCGTCAGGGTAGCGGTAGTGGATAGCGATGGCTCTCCATTGTCTGTGATCAAGACCGTGAGGGTCTGCCTGGACGAATCCGTGTCCTGGACTGGGCGAGCAGTACTGACTTGACCTGTGTGAAGTCCCACAGCAAAAAGGCTCTGGTTGGAGGCTCCCAAGAGGCTGTAGGAGAGCCAGGCATTGTGCCCTGCATCCGCATCCCAGCCTACCACCCGCGAGACCACGTGGCCTGCAGCGGTACCTCGAGACAACATCTCCACCGAATTCTGGCCAGGCCGCGGGTAGAGGACCTGGGGGGCGTTGTCATTGCGATCAGTAACAAAGATGTTCACACTGATGTTGGTGGTCAGGACCGGGGTGCCCCCGTCACTGATATGAGCTGTTAATTCAAACTCCCGCCTATCTTCGTAATCCAGGGGCACTAAAGATGACAAGACGCCACTGTCACGATTTATCGTGAAATAATGACCCACTAGCCCGGTTTCAGCGCCTTGCTCAAAGAGAAAGAAGGAAAGGCGAGCATTCTGTGGGGCGTCGGGGTCCCAGACGCTTAGGTTTAGTATTGGAACCCCAGGAAGATTATTTTCTTCAACATAAACGTCGTAGGAAGATTGGGAAGATTGTGGAGGGTTGTCGTTGACGTCGGACACTTGAACCCGCACTGTCGACAGAGCTGAGAGAGAAGGTGATCCCGCATCCCGAGCGGTGATGCTGAGGTTGTATTCTGGAGCTGTCTCCCGATCCAGGACTGCACTGGTTTTTAAAGTGAAATAATTCTTGAGGGAAGAAGTAAGACTGAAGGGAAGACCTGGTGGAACCTCGCAAGTCACCAGCCCGTTCTCACCAGCGTCCAGATCAGTTACACTGAGCAAAGCTATGACAGTCCCCAGGGGGGCATCCTCAGGGACTGGGCTGTACACGGAAGTGACTGTGATCTCTGGAGCATTGTCATTCACGTCCACAACCTCTACCAATACTTTGCAATGTGCTCCTTCGGGATTGGCGCCCTTGTCTTTGGCCTGGATGTAAATCTCGTGGAGTTTTGTGTCTTCGAAGTCCAGTCGACCCTTAATTGTTAGTACCCCAGTTACAAGGTCTAAGGCAAATAGTTCCCGCACGCCAGCGCGGTTGTGGCTGCCGAAGGAGTAAACGATTTCACCGTTGAGGCCTTCATCCAGATCCGTTGCAAGAACTTGAGCAACGCGAGTGCCAGGGGGTGCATCCTCCGGGACGCGCGCCCTGTACAAGGACTGATTGAAGGCAGGCGCATTGTCATTCGCATCCAGCACGGTGATGCGAATAGGAAGGCTAGTGGAGCGAGCTGGGGTTCCTCCATCCAACGCCGTCAGCACCAACTGGAGGCTTGGCTCTCGTTCTCGGTCCAGGGAGTGCTCCAGCACCAGTTCAGCATACTTGGTTCCGTCCTCCCGCGTCTGCACGCGAAGCGCAAAGTATTCGTTGTGGCTCAGTTCATAGGTTTGTAAAGAGTTGCTTCCTACATCGGGATCGTGCGCGCTCTCGAGCGGAAAGCGCGTCCCTGGCGCCATAGCCTCGCTAATCTCCAATTTCATTTCCCCGGTAGGGAAAGCGGGATTGTTGTCGTTGATGTCCTGGATCACCACTTCCGCGCTGAACAGCTCCAGAGGGCTCTCCACCACCAACTCCAGAGTTACAGTGCAGGAGGGCAGTGTCCCACATAGCTCCTCCCGATCCAGACGGTCGTTCACGAACATCTCTCCGGTCTCCCAGTTCACCTCAAAGAACCTACGGCTTGCTCCGGACACCACCCGGAGCCTGCGGGCTGACAGACTGCCCAGATCCAAACCAAGGTCTGCGACCACGTTACCCACAGTGAAACCCTTTTCTCTTTCCTCCAGGATCTCATAGTGAATGATGGTGGAAGCCTTGTTCAAGGCACCGAGCAGAAGCAAAACTCCTACCACTCTCCCGGTGCTTACCAGTCCGCTCCTCCAGGCCTCTGGGACCATCTCACTCAAAAGCAGTTCCTCTCAGCGGGTTCCAGATCGTCCCGGCGATTTCGCTGAGAAACTTTCAGCGGGTTAGCGCTTGGGCGCTAGGCACCGAGTCGGACATGGCTTTCTGGGTGCCGCTGATTTGCTCGCCGGCTGTACAGCCTCTGCCTCATCCCGGGGCGCAGAAAGGGGACGGGCCGGGGCCAGATCTCCAGCGACTTCATTGGCCGACAGCGGCACACAGAGTCCCAGCCAATAACTGCACGAAGAATGCGCTAGCGCGGGGCTCTCGGAGCAAGACTCGCGCTAGCGCCAGGAACTTCACTTTTCTTTGGCGGCCTTCCAGAGTTTCCGGCCAGAGCGCCTTGTATTATCGGTACTGAGGGAAGTCCTACCACAGCCTGGAAAGCCAACCACGCGACGGTGAAGCTAGCTCTTCTGCGAGTCTCCAAGCCAAATCAGAACCTACTAAACACGTTTTTATCTCTTTCTTTGATCACAAGAAGAGAGATCAAACCAAACCACAATCTACACAACTTTGTGTGGGTAAAGACGCCAACAAACTTGGTTAGAGGACAGATAAATAGCTGGACCCTACTTGTAAAAGGAATTTAGTATTTCTGTGGAGATGTTAATCAGTTTTATAGGTTGGGGGTACAGCTCAGTGGTAGAGTGCTTGCCTCTCATGAATGAGGCCCCTTGGTTGGAGCCCCAGCACCAAACAAGAAAAATAAAATCAGTTTTCTTTTTAAATGAACTGTAGAGTTCCCTGTAACTTCCTCATAGAGCAAATCAAGAGGAGCAGAAATGCTGTTTGGTTTCACTGCCTTATAAAATTTTAAAATAAAATTCAGATTTTATTTCTTTTAAAACTGGATGTCATCATTCAGCTTTCATTTCTTAACTAGAAAGCAACGTGAAATTTCCCTACCCTGTCTTTGCCAAGGAGCATAATCTCAATTGGTTAGAATACAATCTCTCAAACATTTCTCTTGATCAACTCTTTTCTTGAGATCTTGGGTTCCTATGCCACGAGGAGAAGTTATATTGCTAGTGAATATTCACACACACACACACACACACACACACACACACACAGAGAGAAAGAAAGAGTGGGGGGTGGGGTGGGAAAGAAAAAGCTAGGTTTGTACACCATCTAGGACCTTTATAAAATGGTTGAGATAATGACAGCAAAGTTCCACAAACTGTTTAGAGAAAACTAAAGGCTTTAGCCACAGAATAAAGAGCCCTGAATTTTCTACATTTAGGGTTGTAGTTACCAAACAAAATAGCAATTCTCAGGATAATGAATAAGAGAATCAATTATGAAATAAGTCAGAGTTGAACTGTATGCCTTGGATAAGAAACAAACCTCTAAGGGTTCCTGGATTCCTATCCTATTAAATTAATAAGACAGGTCAAGTGCCTAGTACAGAATTAACCTCAATTCATGATGCAAAGCACCCCACTAGATGCTCAATGTAAAGTTTTAGAGCCGCATACTTTTCCTATATACTTGTCTTGGGCATCACTTGATTGCATATAGTGCTTTCCGAAGAGTAACTGAATCTTGAATAAGAAGTAGGCAGATAGGTTAGATATACAGATAGGTAGTAAGTTTATATATTTTCTGATGAGAAGCCATGTGATCTGTTTCCCCATGTCCTCAACACTTCAATTTATCTCTTAAGTACCCTTCTCCACGCCCCCCCCCCCTTTTTTTGGTACTGGGGATTGTACCCAGGGATGTTTTACCATTGAGCTACATCCCCACCCCAGTCCTTTTTAAATTTTATTTCTTTATTTTGGACATGGTATCACAAAATTGCTGTGTCTTGACAAATTGCTGAGGCTGGCCTCAAACTCACAATCCCCCTGCTTTAGCTTCCTGAGTTGCCAGAATTATAGGCCTATGCCACTGCGCCCAGCTAAAACCCCAAATTTCAAATGCGTAAGTTCACAATTGGCCAGACCACTCCGAAGCCTGATAGGCATTAGAAGACAGAATATATCAGAATTTCATGGAATCTGAATTAGAACAAGATATATTCCATGTTTGTATAATTATGTCAAAATGGATTCTACTGTCAGGTATAACTAAAAAGAACCAATAAAAATTTTAAATATAACCCAGTCATGTGTTACTCTCAGTTTGAGAACCAATGGCATAGGTTTCGAGAATTTTTTAGAAATGAGGAAATATTCTTTCTAGACCTACTGAGGCAGAATTTACATTTTGACAAAATACCTAGGTGATTTCAAAACCTTAAAGTTTGAGACGCACTAATCTAGTGAGTTATTCAGTGGGTTATACTAACTTATCAATCTCTTTTTCTTCCATTTACCATTAATTAATTCACAATCTGGATTTTGAAAAATTGCTATTTTTTTATTTAAAGACAGATATCTGTAAATAAATAGTGCCAGGGGCACTTAACCACTAAGCCACATCCCAGCCCTTTTTTATTTTGAGACAGGATCTCACTAAGTTGCTAAGGCTGGTTTCAAACTTGTAATCCTCCTGCCTCAACCTACCAAGTTGCTGGGATTAAAAGGCATGCACATTGTACCTTGTGAAAAACAGCTTTAAAAATTTAAGCAGTTTTCCCATTGATAATAAGGCCCATAATTTTTGTAAGACCTCTTCATAAACCAGTAGAAACTTCTGGAACTTATTCTCCACAGTAGCTAAGGTGAATGTTCTAAAATTTTAATTGGATCCTATAATCTTCCAGCTGCTCCTCAGTAGGTTGTACTGGTCTTGAAATAAAATACCAAATCCTTGAACTTTTCAACATGGAGGCGGAGGTCGATAAGCTGGAACTGACGATTTTGGACTTTCGGTCTCCATGTTTTGACTGTTATGAATGAAATGGCCGTGAGCATTGAAGTATACAAGTTTTGGGTTCCAGAAAGCTGACTCTGATCTGGATTACATTCAGTATAGGCTGGAATATGAAATCAAGACAAATCATCCTGATTCAGCAGGCCAGAAAAATCCAGTTACTGTGCTAAAGGAATTGTCAGCGATGAAGTCTCTGCTATCAATCTTTATATGCACGTTTTAAACAAGTTGCTGTTGAGCAGAAAGAGTCTAAGAGCTGCATTTATGCTACTTTGAATAAGTCTATGACCATGATACAAGAACTACAAAAGCAACAGATCTGGAGCTGTCACCACTGACTGAAGAAGAGAAAACTGTGACAGAGCAATTAAAATCTCACATAACAGACTCATGAAGAAATGGACTTGCAAAAGGAAACTAAGGAAGAGATCCATTCCAGAGAAATTTAGGAAGATGTCTTGTTAACACTTGATGATTAGAGGTGGGGGGCTGGTAAAGGAGAGGAGGTTTGGCTTGAGTGACAGGGTAGTGATGTCTTTAATATGAATGGAAATATAAGAGCAGATATTATCTATATAAAATTTAGCTCCCACGATCCCTCCAAAAAGAAAAGTGGAATGGAAATGCAGGGATTTAAATATATATTTATAAATATACTCATTTTCTTTTTATTCTTTTTTTTTTTTTTGTGATGCTGGGGTTTGAACCCAGGGCTTTGTACATGTGAGGCAGGTACTCTACCAACTGAGCTATATCTCCAGCCCAATGTACTTAGTTTTGCAGTTTTAACTAAGGAAGTCCCTTAAACCTATTTTGGACCTGTTTTTCTTTTTGTATAGTTGAGATAATGTAGATATTCTGCCTTATCATAAAAATAATGTTTATTTATATTTCAGGCAATCAGTGTGTGAATGAGTATGATTTAGAAATTAAAGAATAAGCAACATATTGTTTATATATATATTTGTATAAAACTTACATTTAAAAAAAATTTTAGTTGTAGATGGACACAATATCTTTACTTATTTTTATGTGGTGCTGAGGATTGAACCCAGTACCTCACATGTGCAAGGCTAGTGCTCTACCACTGAGCCACAACCCCAGCCCCCAAACTTCCATTTTTTGAAATGTTGATTATAGATGGGAATCATTATTGATGAGACCATTAATATATGATGTATAGGGGCTGGGGATGTGGCTCAAGAGGTAGCACACTTGCCTGGCATGCGTGCGGCCCAGGTTCGATCCTCAGCACCACATACAAAGATGTTTGTCCGCCGAAAACTGAAAAATAAATATTAAAAAAACCTCTCTCTCTCAAAAAAATATATATGATGTATAATCTCTCATAAAACCTAATTAATGTAATAAGTTAGCTTTTCTGTGATAACCTCACTTTTATTTATTTTCCTGTTCCTTCTGCCTGCTGATGTTGAACAACATGAGATTTTCTGAAAAAAAAAAAAATCCTCTGCATAGTATCCAAATTTCCATGTCTTTTCCCTCCCCATATTCCATTTCACTTCTTTCAGTATGATCATAACCTAAGGAAGCCTTCTGATGGACTGTTCTTCTCCCAGGAAAGCTTCTTTCACCTTTTTTCCTCTGCTTTGCTAATTTAAAAAAATTTTCAGGTCAGTTCAAATGTTATTTCCCAATAGAAGTCTTCTAGTAGGCCTCAGTTAAAACCAGGATCCTTTGTTGAACTCTCTCACACCTTTTTTTTTTTCACATTGAACATAGTAAATTTAAAATTATATAATTATTTTTTTGTTTAAGAATAATGCCTGACTTTTCCACAAACAAACTCCAGTACAGGGACTATGGCATTTTGTGACAACTTGTATCCCTGTTATTTAGCCCAGTAGGCACTTTGTGTGTCTGTGTGTGTGTATGTGTGTGTTTGTGTGCACACATGTGCACACTGGGGATCAAATCAAAGCCTCATGCATGCAAGGCAAGTACTGTAGAATTGAATTATATTCCCAGCCCCATGGCTTTGTCTTTTATAGAAATTTTATTAAAGAGGAATTACAGACAGCCATTGCAGTACATTGAACTCTATAGAGATGGCTCTGGGGCAAGTGAGAGTCAGAGGGGCACTAAGCAACTCTGTACCTCACTGAGGAAAAATAACTACACATAGGCAGAGGAGATCCTGAGAAGCTGAGAGGCAAAGTGTCCTCAC